AGGATACGGCCGGAAAGCACCGGCCATATCCTAACGATGCATTTCGTTCGCTGAATCGAGGGGCCATCCAAACGGGGCAATCACACGAGCCCCGTCCATGGCGAGCGAACGCGAGCGAACGCGAGTCTATGAAGTCGACCCAGTCTTATTGGGGTTGGTGATTTCAACCCCGTGAATGTAGGACACGGTCAACTCATATACAAGCCACCTTGGGTCTATCCGAGACCAGGACCCAGTGGATGATGGTTAGGTGGCAAGCCTTAGTTCAATCATAGTCCCTAGGCTTCCAACAACCATTAATTTACAGTAATAGGCTTTACCCAATCAACTAAGGATTTTACAATACAAAAACCAGGTCAACCATTGTTTTAATGGTCTTTGACTCCCAGGGTAGTGATTTCCTTGTTTACTGACTGTTACAGATAAGGATTGGACAGACTCAACAGCTACCCAGCCACCCAAATGGAGATAGGTTGTTCAATCAGACATATGAGGGAGCGTTTTTGTTAATCACGAGTCTACATTACTTTAACATGGGCTCAAGCATCCTAAGTACAGGTTCACCTGAAACCATCACTCACCACCCGGTCACCCACGCATTCACTACACACAAACCGCCCTATAAGCCCACAAAGGAGTAGGCGCCAAAGAGGTCGCGGATGCCCACGACTTGCACCAATTCCATCTCGTAACGGACCTCTTGCCCATCATCCGGCAACTTGGCCAAATACCTTGGATGTATTCAGTGCAAAGAAAAGGCCAGCGCACGCGTATTCGGGACCTTGGGCAAAACAACAAACACCACACCTTTGTACTATAGCTATAGCTATATATGTTTAATTAGGACTACAGTAATCAGGCACACCTGGAAATATGAGATCATTATACAATAGACCCCCAACTAACTAGACCTGAACCAAGTAGATCCGTATAAGAATATCTAATAGTCTATTGGACACCGTGCCGTGCCACTATCTATTTGGGAACCACAATATGTTTAATTAGGCCACCAAGCGCCACCAAAAGAGCATGTGTCCTGGCAAAATCAGTAGGGAACGGATCTATTCCGCTACCTTCGCAAGCGAACTGACCCATTTCGACGACCTGGATCTTCCAACTCTGCAGCATGTCCAGCCAAGTTCGCCAGACATGTTGCATAGGTGAAGGGTCCAGGTATGCAAATGGCAGTGTGTAGCAAAATTGTCTATTCAACAACCTGTGTAGGGTCAAACCAAGCATGACATGCAGGCTCAGTCAATGGATTCCCACAAGATCAGCAAAACCAGGATCAGGATGGCAAGGATGCAAAAACTGAAGTCGGCAAACATAAATTCCAGGAAAATTACACAACAAAGAACGACATCCTTTCTCATGCCAGGAGCACCCCATAAATTTTGATAGATTTTGGTAAACACTATTAATATCTATTAATTAAATAGCTTTGCTTTCTGATATGTCCTCCATTAATCTCAGAATCAGACTCCACCTTCACCTCATGAACAAAAATATCTGGGACCATTCTGCCGGGACGGTCTCACTTGGCACGGTGCTGGGATGGGCCGCCGGACAGGTACATCTCTGGCACTGTGAAGCGGGCGATCTCGCCCTGAGATTTTCACGTCAAAACCACACGTGGTCGTTTTTGTGACTGGACGTTCATGAAAAACGCGTCCCACAAATTGGAAGCAGCGGAAGATAAATAAGATATATTGATATACAAAAATGAACATGTTAATGGTGTGTCCATGCATTCACCTTCATTCTGAGGATGTTTGTGTTTATATGAGAATGCTATGGGCCATTATGGGCCCCAACAGCTCCAGCTGAAATTCTTCCAGCTACCAACAAGCCAACATGTAACATATACCCTAGCCGCTAGCCTTCAAAGACCATTAAAAGAATGGTTGACCTGGCTTTGTAGTGTAAAACCCTTGGTCAAACAATGAGTTGTTTTGCAAGGACCATTGAAACATATTGCAACAATGGTGGGTCACGCTAGACCTGCTTCTCGCTGCCGCTCGCCTTGCGCATGGTGGCCACGATGCGATCCCAAGCTTCCATGACGCTGCCCATGCCCAGGGTGAAGCTAATGGGTGGGCCATTGCAAGAGGTGTCCTCCGCCAATGGCAGTTCGGTTTGTGCAATCACGAGGAGAAACGTGACTTGATGTGAAAGAGAGACGTGAGCTGAAAGCGGTTGATTTGGTCTCGTGTGTTTTCAAGTGGGTTTCGATTGGTCGTCAAGCCCCTAGAAGCCGGCTGCAAGCAGTCCACTCATTCGAAGTCTTCCCAGATTCAATCTGCAGGGAACACATCATTCATCATCATTCCATAATTCAGCTCAGCATCCAGCAAGGCTCCATCTAATGAGGCAGTGTAGTGAATCTCCACCTATAGAAGGCTCGCTGCTGACAAGGGGGTGGCAGCAGGCTCTGGGAAGAAGGATTTGGGGTATGGATTCATGACATGGTTCTGCTGACCTTGAAAACTCAGTAGCACTGCTATATATAAGAAATTAATCTGCAGTCTGCAGGATAAACATGTCATATCCCCGAACAGGTTCGATGATCCACATCACAAAACGCATGTTTACTCACTCTCATGTCCTTTTGATGTCTAAGTAGCCACTCTTGCCTGTCTGTACCTGTCTGTGCCTGTCTAGAGGTACACCCCTTGATTATCCTTGAAATCGTCACGGAAGTGGAGTGCACCACCATCTGCTTGTACAGGAAAATGGTCCGGAACCATTTGCCACTTCCATGATCCGAGTGTCAATCCCTGGCACATCGAATCTACGGTGCAGCAATGCCAAACTAGGTGCAAATGGATTGGCTTAGGGCTTAGGGAAAAAGAGGAAACCACAGTTATAAAACCAACAAAAACATGGGTTTCCTGTATGTAGACCGTCAAGCCTTCCCTTCAACCAATCATGGAATTTCATCCAAAACCTCCGCACTCACCCCGTGTTTTCCGCGTGTTTTCGTGTCACCGCACGTGCCGCGCCTCATCCCCCTTTTTGGGCTGCCGGCGGACGAAGTTCACCTTCTTCAGGATCTCTTTCCTTGGTCGGCTGCAGGGGGTGCAATCGATCGTGAAGCAAAACAAAAAGACACCTGAACTTGGATTTCGTGGATTTGCTTTTAGGACCTTAGGCTTAGGAACTTTGAACAAAATGTAAAAAAGCTCCCCATGCCAGGGGATTTACCAAGTTATGAAAAGGACAAATAACTCTAAGAAAAACCAGGTGAAGGTTCAAGGTACACATCACCTTGACGGTTCCGTTCCGTCAGTATTCAAAGGAAGTTAATGATACAAAATTATAGAAATTATATACAATTACAGTATACACCAGGTTCCTGTTCATTCCCAGGTTTGAGGTCAGCAACAGGCCTGGAAATGGCCATTGGATGGGACTCACCCCCCAAAAAAGTCCCGAACTGAAGAGGTTAGTGCCTCGATACAGATTCGCCTGCATGTGTGAGCCGTCGCCATGAGTGGATGGTCATCCTCTCCTCTGCCTGGATGCCAGTCATTGACTCCTAGAGGTCCTCGCTGTCGGGCTTGTCAGTTTCCTCCCGTGGTCTCTTCCGAGTTGAGGCCCCTGTCGTTTCAGTGGGTGTTGTTTCCTCTGTAGCGACCCTCTCTTCCCGTCGCGAGCGCTCCTGAGGACAGCTAGATTGAGGACACCAATCCACTCAACAGAATCTCTCAAACGCTTGGATCCTGCACCAGGGCCTGTATACGGGACGGATTTGCTTTGGGAGAAGCCACCGGGCTCCTCAAAGACTTTTGGAAAACTACGGGGTTCGGGGTTCGCATTGTCCACCTATTCGTATGGTATTTTCCACCCCTTCGGTTTTGGTTGGTTGAGAGGCCGGTTCAAGGTGATCCACTGACTGGGTAGGTAGGTCCTTTGCCACCCGGAGCGAGAGAAAGTGACTCGAACCTGGCAGGACAGCCCAGCTGCTTGATGTCAGCAGGAAGCAAGTCTTCATCACTCCCCATGGCCAAAAATTTGCTTGGAACTGGATGCCAGGAAAGGACAATGGCAGCCTGCTGCTGAACAGCACTGTCCTCCTTCTTGCTTGTGACGCTGGCTGTTATATGTTTTTCATGTTTGGATGTGTCAAATACCCATAGGCCCAACATCCTTGCAATTCTGGTCAGAGCGAGCATCTCACTGATTGATTGCCTAGCTGCCTAGCTTGTTGGAGTTCAGTGTTGGCTCGGGCTTCATGTCAGCCCCGTGCGCTTCGGCAAGCTTTCAGCCAAGCCGTGAAAGGTGAAGCGATTCTCAACATGCTGCAGCACCTGTGGACAGTGATGCCACCCACCATTTCAGTGCCCTTATAAGCTTGTTTCTTTCAGTGGTTTTCTCTAGATAGAGGTCAATCGGGAAGGCGCAGGTCCAAAGCAAAGGCACAGCCCTGAACATGTTCCAACTCTTGGCATCCTGCTGACTAATACAACACCTTTCAAAGCCATTCACAAGAACCCTCTCTGACAACCCGAAAACCCTGTGCACAAAAGGTCGTTGTGACCTCCAGAACCATCCAAAAGCCCTGAAACTCAAAAGAGACTTTGGCATCCAAAAACTGTCCAAAGAACATCATCAAAGCTCATCGCATGTGAAACAACTGCAGGCGATCTGTCGAGATCGAAAGCTGAGCTGTAACGGGAAAAGATCACACAAAAACATCTCCCTCAGTTTGGGGATTCACCCTGCAGGGAACATGCAGGGAACATAACAACCGCCTTGGGTGTTCAAGACCCTTGGGTGTCCGCCTTGGGTGCTTTGTCATGTTTTCCAGCCCTTAGTTCAAACATGTTCAAACAATAGCTCTTCGGTAGTCAGACTGCTAAATCATCCACCAAAAAGACCTGGCCCACCCAGGGAAGTCCTTCGGGATCACCTCGTGCCCGTGCGGCACTCATCCCAATCCTCCGAACTCCCTCAAACTCCGTCCTCCCGGTCCGGTCCCTGACAGTCGTGGCCCGGGCCGAAGCGCCCGCCATGGGCTCTCCCGCCATGGAGAGCCAAGGTGAAGGGGAAACTGGTGGGAACTGCCTGCAGAGGTAGCCAGTGACCTGAACTAGGATCCGGAAAACCAGGAGTACCCAACTAGGATAGTCAAACGTTCGGGTTCTGACCCACCTCTGCTGGTGGGTCGAGGAGCTTCCTTTTGAGGGTCCGAAGCCTACAGTACTGGGCCGAGTGTCGGTGTGGGACCTGCATTGGTCGAGGAAGCTTGCTGCACTTGCTGAACTTTAAACCTCCAACCTCCAGTCTTGGGACTTCTAGGGTTTCTGCGGCCAGCACAAGCTTCCAGCAGTTTGCATCATGTTGCCATCTTTCAGGTCAAATCGACCTGAGTTGGTAGCTCAAATCGACCGGTATTTGTGTTTTGTGGACTTTTCAGCTGGTTGATTGTCCACAGTTCGGGAAGCTGCGTATGTGGGTGGCTGAGCTTCGACCTGCACCGAACTGCCGTTCACCATGTCTGTTTTGCTCAAAGCCGAGCTACTGCTTGACATCTCATGCACCTGCGTGTCCTCATTGGTGTGAGGGAGCTGGAAAGAAACATGCTTGTCACCCGTGCCATTTCTATAGCAAGTACCATCATGTAACCTGGCTCATTCAGCACGTGCGGATTCAACACCACCATGTGTCCAGGATCACCATCAGCCCGAATCCAACATCCCTGAGGTTCATAACAAAAACAGAACGGAACTGTTATGAACTGTTGATGCGAGAAGAAGGCAATGCCAGCACTGTCTCAATCTAGGGACACCAAAAGATACCGGATTGGCACGTGTTCTCTCATTAGTAGCATCCATTAACAGCGTTCTCATGTTGGCCCTCTTGGGCCTTGAAACTCTGAATGCAGTGGGTGCAAAATCCACTACACAAAGCCGGACAAACAGCGCAGCATGTTTTCCAGCGCAAGCTAAAGTGAAAAGCTAGGCTCTGTGCGCACCTGATCCGTAAGGGATGGCGAGCATTCATGACATGCGCTCATGAACTGGTGGTCGAAACTTCACACTCCCAATACTCTGTTGGCATGAATGCTTATTGGGATGCTTCGCCACTTCCCTCAACTGGATCCACGGGTGCCGAAGCCACTCCATGAAACGCTCGATGAGCTTGTCGCTCAATTTAGTGAGCGTGTCGGCCCACTGGAGGTCCGTCGGGACCCAAAACACGTCTGGACGACCAAGGTGTTGTTGGATAGCCCTGATGACCACGATCGTGCGTTTGTCTTCTGTCTTGGGGTTTTCCGAAATCAGCACGTCGTATAAGCTACGGCAGTCCGTAACACCAATGGTTCGAAGGGTCCGCTCCAGCTTGAAGGCCTTTTCACGGAACATGACTTCTGACAGCAAGTAAGCCATGTACGAGGCGCGGTCGATGCCCATGTCGCATGCGCTTGCTTCTGCAGACAATGTCGACCGGCAAACTCGAGTCGACCTTGAACTCTTCCAGTCAACCAACAGCCCGGTGCTCACTGCATCGGTGCATTGCGGCTCAGCCAAAAGGATCAACGAGCCGTGCTGGGAGGAAGAGCCTTCTGCATTGGCCCATGAGCTATCGCTGTAAGCCACCACCAGCGTCTGCGGTGAAATCTTCACCGGCCACATGCAGATGCCATCGGACTTCGTGGCATGCAAATGCTCAACTGCACGGTACAGGTGGTGAAGGTCCTCGTAAGTCGACTTTGTGCCCTTGCTGCATAGCGACACAGTGCTTGCCACATCCGGCCTTGTTTGGCCTGCCACCCATTGGAGTGAACCTCCAACCGACCTCAGCTCCGGCATGTCTTGAGGTTCAACCAGCTCTGCAAATCGCTTCTTGCATTGAACTGTGCCTGTTGCAATGCTCTCGATAAAGCTGGCTTGAGACAGCTTCAGAAAAGTTCGGCCATCATCACTCTGGTGCAAACTGATCTGCTTGCCCTTGAATGTCAGGGGGTTGCTCAATGTCAACTCTTCTTGCGATCCCCATCGAAACAAATCTGTCAACTCTGAGCGGTTCCAGCGGCTGTCGTGGCACAACAGAAAATCATCAACATATGCCACCATCAATGCAACCAATGTTTCACGCTCTTGACCGGGCAACTTGCTGTACTTGTAAAAACACATGCGGTCGAGGCTGTGCTGTGTGAAGCCTGCTTCCTCAGTGACTTTCTTCACGACGTGGAGTCCCCAAGTTCGAGGTGCATTGGAGAGCCCATAGATGTTGCCGTTCACCAAGTAGAGCTTGGACTTGAAGGTTCCAGCTCTGGCGGTCACGCCATCTTGTGGCGGCATGAGGTACAACGGCTGGCTTCTCTTCTCTGGGGTGCCTTGAAGGAAGGCGGTTTTGACGTCTCCTCCCCAGAGACACCATTTTGCACTGCCATCCATGAACATCATGTTGAGGCCGCTAACAAAGACAGCGTAAACAAGATATTCGCACTGCCTGGTGGGTGTAGCTGACTCACGGCTCAACTCATGGAGATCTGGGTCACAGTGGCCGAGTGCTACCACTCTACACTTCGCACGAAGTGGTGGAACACCTTTTGACTTGTCCCTGTATGCTGCTCTCGCTCGGAGGATGCGTTTGCGCAGCTGGGGATCAGACATGATCCTGTCGGCCTCCTTGTCATCGAGAGGGATGACGGAGTTGAACTGCTTCCAGGATGTTTCCTCGGCTTGAGCACTCTCGATGAACTTGGCAATGTTTTCTTGGCTCATCTGGAGGATTGCCTGCCAAGGTATCTCCTTGTCATATGCTTTGTGCTCCTGTCTTGTCATCTTCCTGTCATTGGCTGAGGATGGCTTGGAAGGTGTGCCGAGGTGTCCTTGTGTCATGTCATCGGCCGATGCCTCGGAGTCTGATGACTCGCCGGTGCCCATGTAGTCGGCAGTGGCCCTGTAGGCTCTGAAGGCGTGCTTCTGTGGCCATGGAAGTGCGACGTGTTCTGTGCCGTCACTGTGGTTTTGCTTCAGCTGTATGCCATCTGGAGTGACCTCCAGGCTGCTGATGTGTGCTGGGTGCTGTGGCTCATACCAAAGCTCTGTGATGTGGTCTTCTGGAGAATTGCGGATGATCTGGTTGTCATCCTCATCGTCATAAGGCTTGTCCCAAATGACGGTGCCGTGTGGGTAAGCGAGTACCCTGCGGTGCCGGATCCGGTTCTTCGGCGGACCAGCGTAGTGCGTGGTTTGCAATGCATGTGAGGCGATGTCTCGCCTGGCCCAAACCTTGAGGTTGCCTGAGGTTCGAGCGATCTTTTGGTATCCTTGCAGGTGGTAACTGTTGTCACCAATCTGCAGCTGCCGTGTGTGTTTTGCTATCAATGCTCTGTATGCTGAAGGTTGTTCCGGCAGTGGTTGTGTCATCTCACTGCTGCTTCTCTTGCCACCGAGTTCAGGTGGCGTGGAGGGCGCAACCTGTGTCAGCGGGTTGTCAGGAAGTGATTCGATGTCAATCACCTCTGATGTTGTAGTCCTTGGCTGCATGGCGGAAGCTGTTGCTTCGGCCTGTCCTGGTTGTGATCCATGAAGTGGAGTGCCAGGATGTGCAAGGCTCGGTGTTCTGGAAGCTGGTTTGTCTTCCAGTGCTGGTGTTGTAGGTCCTGCTTCAAGTGCTTTGGTCCTCGGTGTGCGGGACCGGTGTTGTTTGCGTACCGGCACGTTGACCGCCGGTTCCATCCATTGTTCAGGTGTCATCCCAAAGGGGTTCTGGCCTGTGTGGATGACTGTCTGTCGGTATGTCGGTGAGTTCACGTTCAGGTGATATTCCACCTGAGGTGCTTGCTGGTATGGGTCTGTCTGTACTGCCTCTTCTGCCTGCTCTGCTGCAGCTGTCTGTGGTTGCGCTGCCGCTGCGGGCTGTGGCTGAGTGGCTGGTACTATAAAAGGTAAGGATGAGAGCGGTAGATCCAGTGCTGGCTCGATTGGGTCTTGTCCCAAGGGCTGCTCTGGGTCTTCCGGTGGTTCTGGTATGGTTTCGTCTTGGATCTGGTTCTCCTGCAGGTTCTCGGATGCCTGCCGGAGTTGCTTGATCTGGTCGTAGTCAGGGTTCCATTGTTCGAAGCCCCGGGCAATGCGCAGCTGGTGTGGTGCTACGCGGACCGTGTTGGTCCCGGCTTGTAGCCAAAAGCTCTTGCCATCCGGGTCTCGGCCTAAGAGGCGGGCCAGTTTGTAGCCACCCCTTTTACGGCCGCTCTTGGCGGTCCACCGCCAGTAGGCTACGGTGGATCCGATCTCTGGAATGTCTCCAGAGTCTGGTGCTGTGTTCTTCAAGAGTGCTCTCCTGAAGGTGCTGTCGATGGCCATAGCTGCAATCTGCTGTTGTGCTTCTGCCCGGATGCTGTCTGCAAATTGTTGTGCTTGTGCCTGTGTATGCCCAGTGACCAGGCCATGTGCGTCACTGAGCAGGTTGATCCCTTGTCTCGGGATTCTGCCGAAGGCTGCTACGTAAGGTGGTCTGCCGGTTGACCATGTGCAGCTGTTCTTGGCGTAGGCTGTCATGGCAGTGACGACCTGCATTTGGTCTCTGCCTGTGATGCCGTGGTAGTCAATGATTCTTTCCATGATGGTGCGATATGTGTGGTTGTGTCGTTCGATCAGTCCGATCTTGTGGTGTGCTTCGGCGGGGACGTAGTCCATATAGACTCCAGCTTCTTCCATGTCCCGCTCAAAGCTTGAGCGGAAGCTGCCGTCAGGGTCGGTTCGTAACCGAAGTGGATAGCCAAAGCTGCGGCACCATCCAAGTTGGAACTGTTCTGACACGTGCTCTGGTGTCCTGTTGTCCAGCAAAATGCCGATGTGAAGGTGTGTTGCTTCATCAATGACACCGAGCATCATGTAGTTGGTGGACTTGATGTCTCTGACATAGATGATGTCCATCTGAAGTCGATCTCCAAACTGGGAAGCTCCGTCTTCATTCTGGAGTTGTCCTCCAGGAACTGGTCGTGGCAGTGGTCTGGTGCGTTCGCAGCTGTTGCACTTCATGTGGTCCAAGGCTGAGTACACGGCTTGGTTGC